ACTAATTTTATGACTATAGATATTACAGATATTGGTGAGAAATAAAATTTAAATTTTTGGTTTTAATAGCTGTAATATAATTTTTAATTACTTAACATATATACATGTAAACGAATAATTTTGTATTTATTTAAAAGTTAAAGATTTAATATAATTTAAAATCACCATGAAATTGAATTATAAGATGAGAAATATTAATAATCAAAGATAAGTATTTACACAAATCAAATGCTGCCTTTCCAATTGGTCCAATTGGTCACTTTTTTTGATTAGCAATCAATAGATAAAAAATCAATAGATATTACAATCAGATATAAATACACTAATATCTAATTAATAATTATTAGGTAAAATTATATAAATTAGATTACAACCTGATTTTATACTTATTTAAAATTGTAAATTATATGTTCAATAGTAATCAATCAGGTTTAATTAACAATTAGTTATCAATCAGTTTAATATCTAATTGATAAATATTATTTAATTAAATTTCTGATTGATAATAATTCGCTAACAAATTTTTTTAATAATTCTTAGTAAAATTCATAAAATTAATAAAATTTTAAATTATTAAATTTTATTAACAATTGACATAATTTCATTAATTTTTTAATGAATAATTAATATATTTTCATCAAATTGTTAACAAATTTTCATTAACAATTGGCACATTTTTGTCAAATCATTAACGAAATTTTATTAACAATTGACATATTTTCATCAAATTATTAATGAATTTTCTTAATAATTAACATTTCATCAATTCATTAAGACATATTTTCATTAATAAATAGCACATTTTTGTTAAATTAATAATAAATTTTCATCAATTCATTAATAAAAATTTGTTAATAATCAACATATTTCGTCAATTCATTAATAAATTTTCATTAATAATTTAATATAATTTTGTCAAATAGTTAACAGATTTTTGTTAATAATTGACAATTTTTCATTAACATTTGACAAATTGTTGTCAATTCTTTAATAAATTAACATATATTTTCAATTTATTAACGAATTTATTAATGAATTCCTCAATTTATTAGTGAATTTTTGATAACAATTGATATATTTTGGTCAGTTATCATTAATAATTAACAAATTTCACTAGTCGAAATGATCCAAATCAGCTATAAATCAGATGGCTGAATTTAGGCCGATTTTGATACTATTTTCAGCAGATTTGTTATTTTCTGATTGGCACAATCTACGCTGATCAACCCAAACAGATAATACAAATCGACGCCAATCGATAAAACCATTCGGCATCAATTCGAAATATAAATTCCATCCTAAATTGGCTTTAATTTGGCCAAATCGATGCCAATCAACTCAATTTGATATAACTATTTAACATCAATTCGGAATATAAATTCCATCATAAATCAGCTTTAATTTGGCCAAATTGACGCCAATTAACTCAATCTAATATAACCATTCGATATCAATTCGGAATATAAATTCCATCATAAATCAGCTTCAATTCGACCAAATAAGTATTATGAAAAATCAGCCAATAGCGATATATTATTTATTAACAAATATTTAATAATAAAAGCTAATATAAAAACCAATTTGTTCTATATTAATGATAAATGATAAAAAAAAAATCGTCACAAAATCCTCAGAAATCATCCCAAATATCTATATAATATAATAATAAATGATAAAAAAAAATCATCCCAAAATCCCCCGAAATCATCCCAAATATCTATATAATATAATAATAAATGATAAAAAAAAATCGTCTCGTTTTCCTCCCAAAAATCAATTGCAATCAATTTATTCTTCCAGATTTTTGTCACTACTTTCTGATGCAGAAGAAACTCCTCTTTGAACCTCTTCTACTTCTTCACTTTCCGTAATTAGCTCTTCTTCTACACTGACTCCTGCATCTTCTTCTATACCATAAATGACATTCGATGATTAGTTATTATAAGACCATTTAGGAGCGTTCAGGGGATGCGGCCAGTTATATTGCTGCAATTTGTCATTATATTTTCATTTTCATTGAATTTGAGACGAAATTGCAGCAATTGGATCGAGTATATTTCTTAAAAAATTTTTGAGCTAAAAGAAGAAAGTAGAAAGAATGTTAGTATAAACATATTAAATAAAAATCAAAAAAATGTAAATTAAAAAAACCTCAGCTGATCATCACAAATAATCATATACAGTGATAATGAATTTTTGTTTATCATCATCTGTTTCGCTAATTTAGGCGAATGGTATTGACAAGTGGCTAGCATTTGAATTAAAGGCTGCTTTTTATATTTTGTAATTCGCTTATCATTAATTGAATAGAATGATTTAGCAGCCTTTACCTTTCGAATTTTTTTCTAGTAATAATAAATGATATTAAATTATTAATTCAAAATATTCCAATTTATTCTATTTGCTTACATCATGTACTCGATTGTTATTATGGATTCAATGTTCTTCCACCAGGCTCTTTCCGCTTTTCATTATTCTTCGAGCTGTTCTGTGCGACTTATAAAGCATTTTCAACTAATCTGTTAATTAGTCAACAGATAGTCGAAAATTTGGAGCCAAAGCCTTTCATAATTCTGATATTAGATTACAACGTTTTTTAATATTTTTTTCGCTATTGAAAAATTCATCATAATCTAAATCATCTTTCGCTGAGATTGTTTTTAAAATTGCTTTCATTTCTGCCTAAATATGAAGAGTAGAAAAATAAATCAGCTTAGAAATTTAAAATATTTAGATAAATTCAAACATACCCTGGCTTCTTTTGAATCAGCCTCTATGTTTGCCAAATTATCACTGTTCTCAGAATAAGTATTTACCGATTCTTCTTCTAATTCGTCATCAGTACAGTGAACAGGCTTCTTGCCTTTCGATTTCGATTTGCCGATTTTTCTTAGTTTTACAGGAGGAATGTCATCAGAATCGTCTTTTTGCTGCCTAAACGATTTTGGCAGCCATAATTTATTAAATTGGTCAAGTCTTAAATATTAAAAAAAGAAAAAATTAGTTATTGAAAATTTTAAGAAATTAGTAGTATACGAATTTACCTCTCCTGTAATTCGTCATTTTCCTTGCTGAATTCTTTGTTTATTTTGGCTAGAAATCGATTTTCGTTTTCTAATTGTTAGTTTCTTGATAAAAGATCAGAATTTTGTTTTTCTAATTTCTTGATCTTTTTACGAAAATTATCTAGCTGCTTCTTTAGCCTTTATTTTCTATATAAAAATAAAGAAAATATTTGTTAATTATCATAAATAATGAAAAGAAATGAATCAAAAATTAATACTGTCTGTTGATTCATCATCACTTTCAGCTAAAGCTGAAGCTGAAGTACCAGCCATTAGCTGTTGATGATATTTTGATGGGAGCCGAATGTTCTTGAATAATTTATATATTTCGTCAATATCTATTTGAACTATAATTTAAAAAGATATTTAGTATCAATATGAATATATTATATAATAAAATTCAACTTATAATCTGAAATATTTGGCTCTTCTTCAGATGATTTTGGTTTTGAAATTATTTTTTGTCTTTTTTCTATTAAAATAATATAAAATCAGTTTATTATTTGAAAAATCTGACTGTTTGATATAAAATCAACTTACGTTCTGGCTCTGCTTCAACCGATTTTTGTTTTTGGGTTCGCTTTGCAGGCAGATTTTTGATTAATATTAAAACAATATAAAAATCAGTTTATTATTTGAAAATTCTGACTGTTTACTATAAATTCAACTTACATTCTGGCTCTTCTTCAGCCGATTTTTTTGTTTTTGTTAGTGTTTTGGTGGCATTTTTGTAAAATTTATTATTTAAGATTAAATGTTAAAGTTTGATGTTGAATTTTAAAAAAGAAAAAAAACAATTCCATCTGAAGCGAAAAAAATTAAACCTTATTTATATAAATTTTTATATAGCTGAAATAAACTTTTTTTAAAACAAATATATTATATTAAAAAGTAAATCAGAAATAATTCATCAATACATTAAGTCAATACAAGACTGTCAATACACATTAAATCAAAATAAGACTTAAAATGAATCAGAAACAATTAATACATTAAATTAATACGAGACTTAAGTAAATCAGAAACAATTTTATAATATACAGAGCGAGACTTAAAATGAATCAGAAACAATCAATACATTAAATCAATACGAGATTTAATTTAATCAGAAACAATTCTTTATCATGCATTAAATCAAAATAAGCAATACTTAAAGTAAATCAGAAATAATTCGTCAATACACATTAAATCAAAATAAGACTTAAAATGAATCAGAAACAATCAATACATTAAATCAATACGAGACTTAATTTAAATCAAAAATAATTCTTTATCATGCATTAAATCAAAATAAGCGATACTTAAAGTAAATTGGAAACAATTTGTCAATACACATTAAATCAAAATAAGAATTAAAGTAAATCAGAAGTAAATCGAAAACAATATTATTAAAAATAGTTAAAACAAATTTAAATTATATTTAAAAGGAAACTGGCTAAAAAAGGAAATTCGTTCAATTGTTTAGTAAACAATATAGAGTATTACTAAAAAGAAAAACAATACAAATAAAAAATAGTCTTCAAACTTTATTTTCTCTTAATTTTCTCAAATATATAATCAAAAAAATCATCTTAATAAATTACTATATTTTGAACTTTGATTTTCTTAATTCTCTCAAATATAAAATCAAATAATGAGTAGAAAAAAGTCTATTTCTAGCATACTTGATGATGATTATGAGGAATCGTCATTAAGACAAACTTCTAATATATCTTCTCATAGAAGAAGAAATAGATCGATTGCTAATTTAATTGATGAAGAATCTATTTCTACTTTAAGACCATTAACATCTCGTAATACAAGAAGTAGATTTTAAGATTCACAAAGTTCTATTTCGGATACATTTCATCAATTTGAAATTCAAGAAGAAACAGGAGAACCATCAACATCAACTTCTGCTAGGTAAAACATTGAACATGAATCTGATGATAAACATCAAGAGGGTTTTGATTCTACTTTCTTACCTCGAAAACGTGTAAGAAAGTACACAAATCGTCCTAAATCTGGTATAAATCCTTCTGATAATTCTGAAATTGAAGCTAATCATCCTTCAGAATCTTCTGAATTTACTACTGAAGAAGATGAAGTTACAAGTGAATCTGATGTTAATGGTGATTTTGAAACATTTGAGTATTATACACCACCGGATTATGAGCCATTTCGAGATCCACCAAATACAGGATCAATTGATGATAACTGATTTTTGTGGATATTAATTTGGATCATGTCATTTCGGACAAGATTCAACATTACAGAGTCTGCAACTGAGGCTTTGATAAAATTTATGAAATTAGTTTTGACAGAAATCAGAGGTGACAATTTTAATGACTTTTCAAATTCAATATTCTTAACAAAGAAGACGCTTAGAATAAAAGACAGATTTCAACATTTCGTTTCTTACTCCAAATGTCATAAACTATACCAAAAACAGGAAGTGGTAAATTTTATACAAGATAATATGATAACTATAATGAAATGTTAACATGTAGAATTTTCCAATTCGTCAATTCACAAATCGCGCTTTTGCAATATATAATTATCTCAAAAAATTGCTATATCAACAAATCGAACAATAATTTAACCTAATTTAATATTTTCTTTTTGTGGAATATGACAACAACTCACTTCCATGTATCGTCGGTCTCATTATGAAATTAATTTGAGATATTGGGCGAATCGTCAGCATTTTGACAACATTATAACTGACATATATGATGGTTAAGTATGGCAGACATTAAAAGAATCTTTTGAGAACGATTCACCAAAATTTTTTCAAGATGAAGTGGCTGATTCTCACCTTGGATTAATGCTGAATCTTGACTGGTTCCAGCCATATGATAGTACTGTTTATAGTATTGGAGTAATATATGCTGCTATATACAATTTGCCGTGTGATATATGATTCAAACGTAAAAATTTACTGACTCTCGGTCTTTTACCCATGCCAATCGAAATCAGTTTACATAAAATTAATCACTATCTAGCACCAATCATTGATGAATTGGAATCTCTTTGGGATGGAATAACAATAAATCAAACAAATGAATATAAAAATGATAAAAGAATTCATGCAGCATTAATCCTAGTTTCATGTAATATTTCTGCGGCAAGGAAAATTTGTGGTCATGTTTCAGCATTAGTGGCATGTCATAGATGTAAAAAGAAGGCAAATTATAAAAATCAGTAACATAATTTTGCTGGAATGGATAATTTTAATGATTAGTTCTTTATGCGAAATCTAATTGAATATCGTCAGAATGCTTTAGAATGGAGATATTGCAATTCAGACATTTCACAAAAGTGATTTGTAAAACAAAATGGTGTAAGATAATTTGAATTATTATGTTTACCATATTTTGATCCTATAAAATTCATTACAATCGATCCAATGCATTGCTTATTTTTAGGCATTGTACGATAGATAGTAAAACAGATCTGAATTGATGAGAGGATTTTAACATCAAATTCCTTGAACAAGATTCAGAAAAAAATGAATGAGTTTCAGATTCCATCCGATTTAGGTCGAATTCCAAGTAAAATTCATAAAGGAGAGGGATTTTCTAATTTTACAGCCAATCAGTGGTAAATATTCTTTACTGTATATGCTACTGTTTCACTTTGAGAACATCTTTCGATTGTAGATAGAAAAATTCTTACAAATTTTGTGAGAATTTGTATAATTTTGGAACATCGGATTGTGGAATGAAATCTATTGCATGAAGCTCATAGAAGATTAATTAGAATAATAAAGTTGATAGAAGAAAATCATGATCGTAACAAAATTACGCTGAATCTTTACCTTTCTCTCCATTTGAATGAATGCTCAATAGATTATGAGCCATTATATGCATTCTGGTGTTTTTCTTTTGAACGCATGAATGGAATATTAGGTAACTCATTATTATTATCTAATAAATCATTATATATCTAATAATTTAACATTTTTTTATGATTTTCAGGTTCTTTGCCAATAGTAATAGAAAATCAAATCTGAGCTAATGCGTCGATTAATATTTGATAGTCAAATCGATAGTATTATAAGTTCTAGTAGCATTAAAGTAAAAGGGCTTGAATTATTAGACAACCATCCTTCTATGGGTTTTTTATCGGATACAGACCAATTTTCTACTGATGAAATTCACCGATTTTGGATGAATTCACGAAACATTAGGGAATCAAATGTTTCTGGTAGTGAAACATTTCCTGGTGAATTTCTTAAACCATCATCTAATAATATAATTCTTTCAAGTGAAATGCTTGATTTGATGGTTGAATATTACATGGCAACTTATAGCATGTTAGAATTTTAGAAGCCATTTGATGAGGATTCAGAAAATGCTATAATAATTCAGGTTAAAATAAACCAATTCGGAAGTTGTCGAATTTTGTTCTGAAATCTTTGGTTCATCAATATCATTGCGACATGTGAAAAGTTTATACATTTTAGCCAAATTTATTACAAATGACAGCACAGTTAATTGTTACCCAGGTCAAATTCAATACTATTTTACTTATATAGTCGATTTGCCGTCTAGATCAGCTAAACATTTTCTAGCATACATTCACTGGTATAAACCTGCAGGTTCTCCAAATATTCAATACTATTTTCGCGATGATGAAGAAACATGTAATGTTGAATTATAGGATACTGATTTTACCCAGAAAGTATTATACCAGTTCATCATATTTTGGGTTGATTTGTGCCAGTAACTATCAAATATCAACCCGACGAAATGTAAAAGAATATTTAGCTATCAATCCCATTAATAGAAAATACCATCTATAAATACAATTTTCTTTGAATTTTATTTTTTCATTGATAAATTAGTAATGTCCAAATTTATCAAATAAATCTGATTATTTCAATCTGCTATAAATAAAATATGTTGAAGTTTGGCCCATTCGTATTCCAATCGGCTATAAATCAAATGGTTGAATTTTGACTGATTTTTAATGTATTCCAATCGGCATAGGTTGAATTTTGGCTGATTTTAATATATATCAATCGGCTAGAAATCAGACAGGCAAATTTAGGTCAATTCTTGATATATACCAAATCGGCTATAAATCGAATAGCTTGATTTTGGCTGATTTTTGATGATATCTGATTTTAGGCTGATTTTAGGCTGATTTATTATATGGCTGATTTTTTTGATTTCGACCAGTGTATGGTTTAAAGATATCGAAATGAAAATTAAAAAAAGATAAATTGAAAAATTGAAACTAAAAATAAATAAATACATACCGCACGATCTTTTGATAACTACAGCCTGCAATGATTCAATCGCTTAAAAAAATGAGTAACAAAATTTAATGAAAAATAAAAATAAAATAAATATAAAAAAATTATTGGTGAATTCTCTTTCTCTCTCCCCAAAAATTCTAAAAAATAATAAAAATAAAAATCAAATATTAACCACTCAACCATATGTCTCCCAAGGCAAGAAAACTGTCTATCGTACGTGACCGTTCTAAGTCGCCTATTATACCATTCAACCAATGCGACTGTTCCAAGTCGCCTGTTGCGAATAGACCTTCGACCATAAAAGCAAAAAAAGATATCATGGAAGAAGAAACCGCACATCAACGACAACTTTTTGCGTAATAACAATTATCTGAACAAGAATCATCGACATTAAATAATGTATCTCCACATGTACTTATGAATACAGAACCTATTTCTTCAGTTGACAACTCTTCAAAAGAAAAAGGAAAGAACCCAGAAACTATTCTAGACGAGGACCAAGCCTTCGACGCTTCAGAAAACATGCTTAATATTTCAAAAGACAACAAGAATATCTTGACCTTCGAACGCGACAATGATACTTCAACGATTTACGCTTACTGCACTGCTGAAAAATTTTTTCCTTTTAAGTCCAACAAAGAAAAAATTAACGAAGCTTGTGCTCTCTTCAACAGATTGCAGTTTCCAGTATTTATTGGTGTCTCGATAAAAATTTCCCCTGATGACAATACAAAGAAAATCATCAGAGTTGGATTTACATCTCGTGTTGAGTACGAAAAAGCTATTGCTGTGCAGATTCCTATTTTGGATAATGCCACCTTTTTACCTTCACCAATTGACCAATCGCAAAATTTGTTCTTGAATTGTCGATCAAGGTGACAGAAATCCCAATCTCAACTACTGAGGCGGTACTCAAATCTTCTCTTTCCTTTTTTGGCAAGATTACTCGATGTTCAATGATCACCAAAAACTTGTGGCAACAAGCCACAGTTACGTATGACGAAACAACTGATATGAAACAATTCCAACACTGTCATGGTTATTTCATCTTAAAAGATATGGTTCGACTCAGTCTCATGTCACTTCCCAACAAAGCTGTAAGAGAAAAATCAAAATACTCTTTTAAACTTACCAACCTCCCAGTCGATACCAATGGAAGACACTTAATCCCCATCGGAAAGGCTACCAATACATTATCATGGGTTATCCCTAAATCTAAAGCCACATATCGTAATCTTCAGTACGTTGTATTTTATTTTCGCAACCAGTCTGATTTAGATGCAGCAAAAAATAGTGATAGCTTAATTTTCGACAAAAAAAGACTTATTTGGACTGATTCTGGTCAAAAACTCTGTTATATCTGTTCGATACCAGGATATCAATCCCAAAATTGTAAACGCAATAGATCATCACCTGCAGATCGTTAGACTCAAAATTTATATCAAAAATACCAACCTGCACAATTTCATAAATATACTGCGCCTCCTCCAAAACCCAAACCTTATACAAATAACAACACACCAAAAAACCCATTGTTAAAATTACTAATCATCAACAAAATCCCCGTAGCACTACGTCGTATACTAATCCACTACCAAAACCTAAAGAAACGCCAATCTGGGTTAAAAACAAAAACAACAATAATAGTTCACTCGACGATAGTATACATGCACAGATACAATGGGCTGAACAATTTGAAGAAATGTATAACTCTGATCAATTTGAACCACCCTATGAGTCTTACGAAAGCCACTTGTCAGGAAAACTTGATGAAATCCTGTTACAAATGAAGGCGATGAATGAACATCAATCTAACATCCATAACAACCTCAATTTCACTATATATAGAGTGGAATAGATCGAGAAATCTTTAAATTTTTACACTCTCACTCCACAGAAAGCCGCAGAACTTAACGAGGCTGAGAAAGCAAAACTCGAAGATGGTGAATGAATGAAAGAGGACAGTGAATATATAGCAGAA